TCTGTGATTCTGTGATTCTGAAACAGAGCTGGAGGGAGCAGAGAAGGAGAGAAGGAGTAGGGTAGATCAGAACAGAATAAATAAGAACAGCATAGAACAGAGCAGGGTAGGGCAGCACGGAGTACATCAGAGCAGAATAGAACAAGATAGAGCAGAACGGAGTGGATCAGAACAGAATAGAACCAAGCAGAACAGAGCTTAACAGGATGGAACAGAACAGAATAGAACAGGATAGAACAAAACAGAACAGAATAAGATAGAACAGAATAGAATAGGATAGAACAGAGCAGGATAGAACAGAATAGAATAGAGCAGGATAGAATAGAATAGAACAGAACAGAATAAGATAGGACAGAACAGAACAGAGCAGGATAGAACAGAACAGAACAAGATAGATCAGAACAAGGTAGGATGAATCCGAACAGAATAGAGCAGGGCAGGACAGAACAGAATAGAACAGGATAGAACAGAACAGAACAAGATAGGATGAATCCAAACAGAATAGAGCAGGGCAGGACAGAAGGGACCTCTAGGGTGACCGGGTCCAGCTCCCTGAGCAGCTCATTGAAGCACATCAGTGAGGATAGAACCCAAATGTCCCCTGAGCACGGACAGGTGTGAGGTACCCCTGGAACCCAGCAGTTCTCCAGAAGGTTCTGATGGGACCGGGCTTTGGGTCACTGAGCGAGCAAGAGGCACCCAATCCGACCAGCAGCTGAGGTGGGGCAGTGGTGCTGCTCTGCTTCCCTCTGCTGATTTGACCTTTGCTTTGGATTTATCTCAAAGTAAATTGGATGTGTGATTCCTTAAAGGTCACAGAGCCATGCAATGGTTGGGTTGGAAGGGTCCTTAAAGATCATAGTAACATAGTATGGTTGGGTTGGAAGGGTCCTTAAAGGTCATAGTGACATAGTATGGTTGGGTTGGAAGGGTCCTTAAAGATCACAGAGCCATGGAATGGGTTGGGTTGGAAGGCTCCATGAAGACTGTAGAGCCATGGAATGGTTGGGTTGGAAGGGTCCTTAAAGGTCATAGTGACATATTATGGTTGGGCTGGAAGGATCCTTAAAGTTCAAAGAACCATAGGATCATAGAATGGTTCTATGAACTTGGGTTGGAAGGGTCCTTGAAGATTGTAGAACCATGGAATGGTTGGGTCGGAAGGGTCTTTAAAGATCATAGAGACATAGCATGGTAGTGTTGGAAGGGTCCTTAAAGATCATAGTGACATGGGATGGTTGGGTTGGAAGGGTCCTTAAAGGTCATAGTGACATAGTCTGGTTGGGTTGGAAGGGTCCTTAAAGGTCATAGTGACATGGGATGGTTGGGTTGGAAGGGTCCTTTGAGGTTATGGAGACATGGGATGGTTGAGTTGGAAGGGTCCTTAAAGTTCAAAGAGCCATAGGGTCATAGAATGGATTGGGTTGGAAGGTCCTTGAAGATTGTAGAACCACGGAATGGTTGGGTCGGAAGGGTCTTTAAAGGTCATAGTGATGTAGTATGGTTGGGTTGGAAGGGTCCTTAAAGGTCATAGTGACATAGTATGGTTGGGTTGGAAGGGTCCTTAAAGGTCATAGTGACATAATATGGTTGGGTTGGAAGGGTCCTTCGAAGTTATGGAGACATGGGTAGTTGGGTTGGAAAGGTCCTTAAAGATTGTAGAGTCATGGAATGGTTGGGTGGGAAGGGTCTTTAAAGATCATAGAGACACAGCATGGTTGTGTTGGAAGGGTCCTTCAAGATCGTAGAACCGTCGAAGTATTGGGTTGGAAGGGTCCTTCCTGGTTAATAGGTGGCTGTGTGTAATCAGCACGGCTCCCACAGGAAGCCAGCTTTCCGTGGGTCACACCTGGAGCCCACGGGGTGGGGTGGTGGAGCACCCACCCCACAGCAGAGGAGGGCCGTGGGGCAGCACGCGTCAGAACAGCTCAGAGCAGAGGCAGAGGAAGGAGAGGGGAGGAGATCCGCGGGGCTCTGCCAGCACGCAGCGCAGGAGGAGCAGCGCAGGAGGAACGGGCTCAGCTCCTGCATGTGTGTGAGCCCTGCAGCACCAGCATCCTGGGCCCCTCCCCACCCGGCAGCCCCACCTGCCTCACCTGAGACCTGTCTGCTGCGTGGCCGAGTTTTCCTTGCACCAAATGAAACCATCCCCCATGGCACATGGCAGCCCCTGCCTGCTCTGCACCGAGCTCTGCCTCCCGAGGTCAGGCACCGCTGGGGCTGCGGTGCTCCTGGAGCGTTTCCCGCTGACCCCAACCCTCCGGCCGTGCTCACGAGCTCTGCCATCACGCTGCCCGCGGCAGCTCTGTGTTCCCCTTCCAGCTCCTGTGATCTCCGCTTTCAAAGCGCCGTTCTTCATGCAGCAAACGCTCACACAGAACCTCTGGGAGCTGTTCCAGTGATGGGAAACGCAGCTGGTCCCTCCTTTCTCAGCCCGGGACACGCGCGCTGTTCTGCCCAGAGCTGGCTGGGTGGCGTTCGGAGCACTCTGCCAAGGAGTGCGACGATCCAGCGCCGCTGTGATGCCGGTCAGATAGAACAAAGGCACAGCAGAGCGTTCCCACGTGGCTGTGGGTGGGCTGCCCGCCTCCCTGCGCGCTGTGTCCCGATGGGATCCATCGCCTGGGAAGGAGGATCCCAATGCCTGGGACCACAGCGGGGCAGCCCCACGCCCGCGGCCCCGAGGAGCGGCTGCTGAGCATCTCCGTGCTCCCCACCTCGCGTTGGCTGCTGTCAGCTGGGATCGTAGGACCACAGAATTATTTGGAGTTGGAAGGGACTTCTAAGGGCCATCTGCTCCAACTCCTCTGTTGGATCACCGCACTGCTCCGCTGGGGGCCGTCTGCACACGGAGGGTGCAGTAAATCCCTCTCCCATGCCATTGATACAGGGGTTGAAGAGTCCCCCGCCCCCTGGGGGACACCACCCTCACCAGTCCCCATCATTGACCCGCTGAGCCATCCGGCACCGCTCTCTGCTTGCCATCTCCAGCCATCTCCCACTGTCCCCTGAGGGACACCGCTGTCACCAATCCCCATCCTTTGACCCACTGAGCCATCTGCCACCACTCTCTGCATATGACCTCCAGCCATCTCCCACTGTACCCTGGGGGACACCATTGTCGTCGATCCCCATCCCTTGAGCCGTTGACCCGTCCACTGCCATTCTTTGTGAACCATCTCCAACCATCTCCGCCCGTCCCCTGAGGGACACCGCTGTCACCAATCCTCATCCCTTAACCCTCTGAGCCATCCACCACCACTCTTCGTGTGCCACCTCCAGCCATCTCCCTCTGTCCCCTGGGTGACAGCGCTGTCACTCATCTCCGTCCATTGTCCCACTGAGCCATCACCACCATTCTCTGTACCATCTCCAACCGTCTCCCCCCGATGCCCTGGGGACACCTCCGTAACCAGTCCCCATCCGTTGACCCATCACCCATTCAGTGCTGCTCTCTGTGAACCATCTCCATCCGTCTTCTCATCTGGAGGCGGCAGATGCACAGAGTGCAGACGTCATCTGTGTTCATTTCAGCTCCTCGAGTCGTTCTGCTTCTTAGCAAGACTGATAGCGAAATGCAGCCATTTCCCATTGGCCGTTTCTGGAGTGGAAATCTTGTATTTCCTACAACTTCTGTTCCATGGAATCGTAGAATCTTTTGAATTGGAAGGGACCTTTAAAGGTTTCCTGGTCCAATTTTGTCCATCTATCGATCCTCACCATACAAATTCCAGCTTTCCTGGAAGCATAAAAGTGGAGGTGCTGAGTGGGAGGGGAAAGCTTCAAGTCAGAGCTTCGAAAAGTCCAAGTGCTGAGTGGTCCAGGAAAGGAATCTGGTATTTGAATGTTTTCCTATTTCCAAGAAAACGTGCTGCCCTTGTCATTTCAGGCTTCCTCCCCAGCATACAGCGGCTCCAACATCTACTCCCCGGATTCATCGACCAACTCTGGTCCCATCATCTCGGACGTGACGGAGCTGGCCCAGTCCAGCCCTTCGGCATCTCCCAGCGGCAGCCTGGATGAGAGGTGAGCGGGCAGCTCTGCGCTGCTGGGAGCCTGTGCTCTCCCTGGGGGTCACCTCTGGGCGCCCTCGCGTTCAGATGGAGCTCCCCAGGCTCCAGTTTGTGCCCACTGCGTTGTCTGCCATTTCTGGGCACGGCAGTGGGGCTGGGGGTTCCCTCCGACCCAGCCGTGTTGTGGTTCTGTGATCTTCCAGGACCCTTCCAACCCAACCCGCTCTGTGACTCTGTGTCTCTGTGGTCTCTCAGGACCCTTTTCCTGCCCAACCTCTTCCATGGTGCCATGTTACAGCAGCTCCTTTTTTAGTCCAGCATCACTGGAAGAACAACAAAGATGGACCCGGAACCTCGAGGAAGCCACTCGTGCACCCCTGCCCCCATCTCTGGGATGGCCAAAGCCCCCCCCAATACCCCCAGTGCTGCTGTTCCTCCCGTGGCCCCACTCCCATGAAGCACCAGGGGCTGTTGAGCTGAGCCTTGTGGGCCCATCTTTCTTTACCACGTTGTGGTCTGTTTTTTTTCCCTCCTCTTTAATGGGTTATTTCTGGCACTGGCACTTCCCCTGAGGCACTGAATCACCCACAGATGCCATTTATTGCCTTAATACCCCCTGCTAGGAACGCTCACACTGAAATACAGACCACATGTTTGCTAAATGGGCCTTTTCATGCTCTTTGTTGTTGCTGATCGAGCCTCTTCCACCCCAAACCACTGAGCTTGGGTGGTTTCCATCCAGCAATGAGGGCTGACCGAAGGAGCCACCTTCCCTTCCCATAACATCTCTTGGCACGGTGGTGGCTGTGCCGTGCAAGTCCAGGTGGGGATGTTGAGAAAGGGGGTGTGCACGTGCTGTACAGTGCTGCCGCACCATTTACAGCGGGGCTGCATCAAAAGCTGCTTGCTTTTAACTGCACTGGTAAAAATAATCCAACCACCACCTCCTCCCCGTGTCCAGAAGTGCCTGTGGGGCACTGAGCAGCATCAGTTTGGTCAGCCATTGATCAGATGGTCAACTACTGATCAGCTGTTGGTCAGCTGTTTGTCAAGCGTTGGTCAACTGTTGGTCAACCGTTAGTCAGCTGTTGGTCAACCATTGGTCAGCCATTATTCAACTGTTGGTCAAACATCGATCAGCCATTGGTTAACTACCAGTCAACCATTGATCAGCTCTCAGTCAACTGTTGGACAACCAGATGGTCAACCATTAGTCAACTGTTGGTCAACCACCAGTCAACTATTGGTCAATCATTAGTCAGCTGTTGGTCAACCAGATGGTCAACCATTTGTCAACCATCAGTCAACTGTTGGTCAACTGTTGGTCAGCCATCAGTCAACTGCCAGTTAACCAGTGATCAGCCATTGGTTAACTGTCATTTAGCCATTGGTCAGCTGTCAGTCAACCACTGGCCAACCACTGGTCAACCATTGGTCAGTCATTAGTCAGCTGTTGGTCAACCAGATGGTCATCAATTTGTCAACCACTAGGCAACTGTTGGTCAACCAGATGGTCAACTATTTGTCAACCATCAGTCAACTGTCAGTCAACCAGTGTTCAGCCATTGGTCAACTATCATTTAGCCATTGGTCAGCTGTCAGTCAACTGCTGGTCATCCATTGGTCAACCATTAGGCAACTGTTGGTCAACCACTGGTCAGCTATTGGTCAGTCATTAGTCAGTGTTGGTCAACCAGATGGTCAACCATTTGTCAACCATTAGTCAACTGTTGGTCAACTGTTGGTCAGCCATTAGTCAACTGTCAGCCAACTAGTGTTCAGCCATTGGTCAGCTGTCAGTCAACTGCTGGTCAACCATTGGTCAACTGTTGGTCAACCAGATGGTCAACCATTGGTTAACCATTAGTCAACTGTCAGTCAACCAGCGATCAACCATTGGTTAACAGTCATTCAGCCATTGGTCAGCTGTCAGTCAGCCATTGGTCAATCATCGATCAGCTGTCTGTCTACTACTGGTAGACTGTTGGTCAATGATTGGCAACCTGTCAACCACTGGTCAAGTGTTGGTTATCTGATGGTCAACCAGGACAGCCAGTAGTGCAGAACTCTGGTGTGCTGGGGGAGCTGAACCAGATGGGAGATGCAGAAAAAGCCGCATCAGGGGAGCTGGTTAGGATCAGAGTCGGGGAAGAAGAAACATTTGGGAATGGTTTCAACCTCATCTCTGTGGCTGCCTTGAGGCTTTGTACGCACAGGATTTCTGCCTGGTTGTGTGGAAGCACACCCAGAAACCACGCATGCGAGATCCTCACCCTCCTCTCTCTTTCCCCCAGGAGCAGCCCTGTGGTCCGCATCAAAGAGGAGCCCCCCAGCCCCTCCCACAGCCCCAAGGTAGAGGAGGCCAGCCCAGGGAACCCCCCCGCTGTCGAAACCCCTCTGTCTCCCTCCACCTTCATCGACTCCATCCTGCAGGAGAATGAGCCCAGCACCACGACCGCCGCGGCCGGCAACAGCACCGCGCAGCCTCAGCCCCAGGAAAAGTGCCTCAGCGTTGCCTGCCTCGACAAGTGAGTGCCCCCATTCCTGAGCTCTGGGTGCTCGGGGAGCTGCAGTCATTGGTGTAGAGGTGGATGTTTTGTAGGATAATAGAATCAGAAAATGGGTGGGGTTGGGAGGAACCTTGAAGATGGTTGAGCCATGGGATGGTTGGGTTGGGAGGGACCTTGAAGATGGTTGAGCCATGGGATGGTTGGGTTGGAAGGGACCTTGAAGATGGTTGAGCCATAGGATGGCTGGGTTGGAAGGGACCTTGAAGATGGTTGAGCCATGATGGTTGGGTTGGAAGGGAACTTGAAGATGGTAGAGCCATGATGGTTGGGTTGGAAGGGACCTTGAAGATGGTAGAGCCATGATGGTTGGGTTGGAAGGGAACTTGAGGATCATGGAGCCATGAGATGGTTGAGTTGGAAGGGACCTTGAAATGGCAGAGCCAGGAGATGGTTGGATTGGAAGAGAACTTGAAGGTCGTCATAGAAAGGCTGGGGTTGAGAAGGTCCTGAAAAATCATAGAGTGATGGAGTGATTGAGTTGGAAGGGACTTTGAAGATGGTAGAGCCATGAGATGGTTGGGTTGGAACGGAACTTGAAGGTCGTCATAGAAAGGGTTGGGTTGAGAGGGTCCTGGAAGATCATAGAGTGATGGAGTGATTGAGCTGGAAGGGACCTTGAAGATCATAGAGCCACTGAATGGTGGAGTCGGAAGGGTTCTTCAAATCATGGAGTCGTGGCATGGTTGGGTTAGAAGGGACCTTGAGGATGGTAGAGCATTGAGATGGTTGGGTTGGAAGGGTCCTTAAAGGTCATCAAAGAAGGGGCTGGATTGGGTGGTCCTGAAAGATCATAGAGCCATGAAATAGTTGGGTTGGAAGGGTCCTTAAAGATCATAGAGCTGTGGAATAGTTGGGTTGGAATGGTCCTTAAAGATCACAGCAGCATGGCTGTGTTGGACGGGTCCTTAAAGGTCACAGAGCCGCTGAATGGTTGGGTTGGAAGGGTCCTTAAAGATCAAGGGATTGAAGCCCCTGGGGGTGGGATTGCAGCCCCCTCGGTTGGTATTGAAACCCCCCGGGGTGGGATTGAAGCCCCCCAGGGTGGTATTAAAACCCCCGGGGTGGGATTGAAGCCCCTGGGATGGGATTGAAGCCCCCTGGGGTGGGTTTGAAGCCCCCCGGGGTGGGATTGAAGCCCCCCTTCGGTTGGTATTGAAGCCCCCTGCTTGGTATGAGAGCTGCAGGGCAGCCTTTGGTGGAGGGAATTGAGCTGGAGCTGAAGGCAGCTCCGTGTGCGGGGGGGGGAGGGAATGTCTGCCTGGGAACGGGCCAGGAGGCAGCCCCAGCCTCCTGTGTGTCCGTGTGTCCATGTGTCTGTGTGTCCATGCAGTGCAGCAGGGATGTGTCCGTGTGTCCGTGTGTCTGTGTGTCTTTGCAGTGCAGCAGGGATTTGTCCGTGTGTCTGTGTGTCCGTGTATCCGTGTGTCTGCGCAGCAGGGATGTGTCTGTGTGTCCATGTGCTCTGGTCCTGGCAGGGCACAAAGCTGTGCTGCTCAGGTCCTGGCAGGGCATAAAGCTGTGCTGCTCAGGTCCTGGCAGGGCACAAAGCTCTGCTGCTCCAGTCCTGGCAGGGCACAAAGCTCTGCTGCTCAGGTCCTGGCAGGGCACAAAGCTCTGCTGCTCAGGTGCTGGCAGGGCACAAAGCTCTACTGCTCCACTCCTGGCCGTGGGAATGGCAGCCCCAAGGTGCCGCTGCCCTAACGAGGTTTCTCCTTAATGAGAAGCACTGCGCATGGGGATGAGGCTGCATCACGAGGCGCTGAGCACGGGCTGCTGGCTGCTGGCTGAGTCGGGGCCGGCGGTGCGAGGCGGCTCCGTCGTCGCGCTGTCAGGATGTGGGGTGTCGGGAAAGAGAAGGAGAGAGGGGAACAAAAGCTGCTCTGTGTGGGCACAGCGCTGCCAGGGAGCAGGGAGAGCACGAGGGATGCATCCCGTGTGCTGGGGGGGTGGGGATGGGAACCCAAGGAGTGGGTGAGGGGCGCAGTGGGCGCTGGGTCAGGCTGTGCCTGCGGTGTTTCTGGTCTTTTTCTTGTGTGTCACTGCAGGAGGAACCATAGAGGTGGTTGGGTTGGAAGGGTCAGAGCATAGAGGCATGGGATGGGTTGGAAGGGTCCTTCAAGGTCACAGAGCCATGGAATGGTTGGGTTGGGAGGGTTCTTAACGATCATAGATGCATGGGATGGGTTGGAAGGGTCCTTAAAGGTCGTAGAGCTATGGGATGTGTGGGTTGGAAGGGTCCTTCAAGGTCGTAGAGCCAATGAATGGGTTGGGTTGGAAAGGTTGTTACAGATCACAGAGCCATGGGATGATTGGGTTGGGAGGGTCCTTCAAGGTCATAGAGCCATGGAATGGTTGATTTAGAAGGGTTCTTAAAGATCATGGATGCATGGGATGGGCTGGAAGGGTCCTTAAATGTTGTAGAGCCATGGGATGTGTGGGTTGGAAGGGTCCTTAAAGGTCATAGTGCTGTAGAGTGGGTTGGGTTGTGTTGGAAGGGTCTAGAAAGGTCATAGAACCGTGGAATGGTTGAGTTGAAAAGGTCCCTAAGGATCATAGAGCCATGGAATCGTTGGGTTGGAAGGGTCTTTGAAGATCACAGAACATGGAACAACAAAATGTTTGGGTTGGAAAGGTGCTTGCAGGTCATAGAGCCATGGGATGATTGCATTCGAAGGGTCCTTACAGATCACAGAGACATAGTGTGATAGGGTTGGAAGGCATCTTAAAGGCCATAGCGAAATAGAATGGTTGAATTGGAAGGGTCCTTAAAGATTATAGAGGCATGGAATGGATTGACTTGGAAGGGTCCTTAAAGATTGTAGATACATAGTACGATTGTGTTGGAGAGGTCCTTCAAGATCATAGTGACACAGTCTGGTTGGGTTGGAAAGGTTCTTACAGGTCACACAACCACAGAATGGTTGGATTGGAAAGGTCCTTAAAGATTATAGAGGTACGAAATGGGTTGGGTTGGAAGGACCCTTAAAGGTTGTACAGACATAGTATGGTTGTGTTGGAAAGGTCCTTAAAGATCATAGAGCCACTGAATAGTTTGCTTAGAAGGATCCTTACAGATCATAGAGATAGCATGGTTGGGTTGGAAGGGTCCTTACAGATCACACAACCACAGAGTGGTTGGGTTGGAAGGGTCCTTACAGATCACACAACCATACAATGGTTGGGATGGAAGGACCCCCCAGCCCCACCCCTGCCATGGGCTGGCTGCCCCCCAGCTCAGGCTGCCCAGGACCCACCCACAGCCTGGGGCACCTCCAGGGATGGGGCACCCACAGCTCCGGGCAGCAGTGCTGGGGCTGCACCGCCTCTGGGTGAAGGATTTCCCCACATCTGCCCCCAATCTGTCCTCTGCTGGGACTGATAAAGCAGCTGATGGAGGTGCTGGGCCAGGGGGGACTTCACCAAAAAGCACTGCGTGGATGTTGGTGGCACCCTATGAATCCCTATGGTGCCCTATAGATCCCTGTGGCACCTTGTGGATCCTTATGGCACCCTATGGATCCTTATGGCACCCTATGGACCCCTATGGCACCCTATGGATCCGTATGGCACTCTATGGATCTTTATGGCACCCTAAGGATCCCTATGACACCCTCTGGATTCGTGTGGCACCCTATGGATCCTTATGGCACCCTAAGGATTCTTATGGTTCCCTATGGATCCCTATGGCACCCTATGGATTCCTGTAGCACCCTATGGATCCCTATGGCACCCTATGGATTCCTGTAGCACCCTATGGATACCTATGCTACCCTGGATCCTTATGGCACCCTATGAATCTCTATAGCACCTATAGATCCCTATGGCACCCTATGGGTCCCTGTGGCACCTTATGGATCCTTAAGCACCCTCTGGATCTTTATGGCGCCCTATGGATCCCTGTGGCACCCTAAGGATTCCTATGATACCCTCGATCCTTATGGCACCCTATGAATCTCTGTAGAACCTATGGATCCCTATGGCACCTATGGGTCCCTGTGGCACCCTATGAATCTCTGTAGAACCTATGGATCCCTATGGCACCTATGGGTCCCTGTGGCACCCTAAGGATACCTATGACCCCCTGGATCCTTAGGACACCCTGTGGGTTCTCAGGGCAGCCTGGTTCTGATAGCTGCTGACCCAGCACCCAGCAGGGGCTTGGAACTCGGTGATCCTTTCCAAGCCAGGCCGTTGTGTGACGGTGTGGCTCACTGTCCTCCTCCCCGCGCCCAGGAACGAGCTCAACGACCACCTGGACACCATCGACTCCAACCTGGACAACCTGCAGACCATGCTGACCACGCACGGCTTCAGCGTGGACACCAGCGCCCTGCTGGACGTGAGTGCTGCGTCCCCATAGGCCTCCCCCTCATCCCAGCACCACCTTTCCTCCCTTCAACCCCCCAACCCCCCCCAAATGTCCCTCTCTCCGCTCCCCGGCCCCAACACCGCTGCTCTTTTTGCAGCTCTTCAGCCCTTCGATGACGGTGACGGATATGAACCTCCCCGACCTGGACAGCAGCCTCGCCAGCGTGAGTCACAGCGCGGTGCACTGGGGTCCCTTTGCAGCTCCAGCAGGCAGGAAATGGCTCAGAGGGGTTTGCAAAACGGGAAGCACAAGCGTGGTGTGCTGGGGGCTGCAGCGGTGCAGGGGCGGCTTGCAGTTGTGCAGATGCGGGTTGCAGCGTTACAGGATCTGATTGCAGCAGTGCAGGGGCAGGTTGTGTTGATAGAGGCGGTTTCCAGTTGTACAGAGGCAGGTTGCAGCAGTGCAGAGGCAGGTTGCAATGGTAGAAGCAGTTTCCAGTTGCACAGAGGCAGATTGCAGCAGTGCAGGGGCAGACTGCAGTGGTAGAGGCAATTTCCATTTGGACAGAAGCAGATTGCAGCAGGACAGGGGCAGGTTGCAGCAGTACAGATGCAGATTGCAGCAGTGCAGAAGCAGGTTGCAATGGTAGAAGCAGTTTCCAGTTGCACAGAGGCAGGTTGCAGGAGGACAGATGCAAATTGCAGTAGTGCAGATGCAGATTGCAGCAGTGCAGGGGCAGGTTGTGTTGATAGAGGCAGTTTCCAGTTGCACAGAGGCAGGTTGCAGCAGTGCAGAGGCAGGTTGCAGTGCTGGAGGCGGTTTCCAGTTGTACAGAAGCAGATTGCAGCAGGACAGATGCAGATTGCAGCAGTGCAGAGGCAGGTTGCAATGGTAGAGGCAGTTTTCCGTTGTACAGATGCAGATTGCAGCAGTGCAGAAGCAGGTTGCAATGGTAGAGGCAGTTTTCATTTGTACAGAGGCAGATTGCAGCAGGACAGATGCAAATTGCAGTTGTGCAGAGGCAGGTTGCATCAGTGCAGAGGCAGATTGCAGCTGTGCAAGGTCAGATTGCAGCAATGCAGGGTCAGATGGCAGCAATGCATGGTCACATTACAGTGATGCAGGGTCAGTTTGCAGCAGTGCAGGGTCAGATTGCAGCGGTGCATGGTCACATTGCAGCAATGCAGGGTCAGATTGCAGCAGTGCATGGTCACATTGCAGCAATGCAGGATCAGATTGCAGCAATGCAGGGCCAGATTGCAGCAATGCAGGGGCAGATTGCATCTGTGCTGCGTCAGATTGCAGCAATGCAGGGGCAGATTACAGTGATGCAAGGTCAGATTGCATCTGTGCAGGGTCAGATTGCAGCAATGCAGATCACAGCTGTGCAGGGTCAAGTTGCAGCAATGCAGGGGCAGATTGCAGCAATGCAGGGGCAGATTGCAGCTGTGCATGGTCAGATTGCAGCAGTGCAGGGTCACATTACAGAGATGTGGGGTCAGATTGCAGCAATGCAAGGTCAGATTGCAGCGATGCAGGGTCAGATTGCTTTGCACACACTGAAATCCCTGCTGGGTGGCTCTGGCACGGATGCATCTGCGGGTTTGCATCGTGCCCTGACCGCCCCGCTCCTCTCCCTGCAGATCCAGGACTTGCTCTCGTCGCAGGAGCAGCAGAAGCCCTCCGAGGCCGAGGCCGGAGCAGCAGACACAGGTACGTGGTGCTGCAGTGCTGCAGGGACACGGCTCTGCCCAGGGAGAGCTTTGGACGCGTCACGTTGCACCCCAGCACCCACAGGGGTGGTGTTCCCTTCCTGCGAGGGCAGACGGCGAGCGCTCCGTCCCTGCAGCAGTGCTGCCATCCCCCCATGGCATCCCCACCTCCCTCTGGCATTCCCAGCAGCATCCCCACCCCACCATAGCATCCCATCCTCCATGGCATCCCCACCCCCCCATGGCATTCCCACCTCCCCATGGCATTCCCACCTCCCCATGGCATTTCCACCTCCCCATGGCATTCCCATCTCCCCCCATCATCCCCACCTCTCCATGACATCCCCAGTTTCCCATGGCATTCCCAGTTTCCAGCGCCATTCCCACCTCTCCATGGTAATCCCAACTCCCCACATCATCCCCAGCTCCCCATATCAGTCCAGTCTTCCCACATCTCACCTCCTCCCCATGGCATCCCCACCTCTCCATGGCATTCCCATCATCTCCCCACATCATCCCCATCTCCCCATGTCATCCTCACCTCCCCACATCATCCCAGTCGTACCACATCCCACCCCCCCATGGCATTCCCAGTTCCCAGCAACATTCCAACCTCCGCACAACATTCCTGGCTCTCCTCATCACCCCCATCTGCCCACATCATCCCCATCTCCCTGCAACCTCCCCACCTCCCCATGGCATTCCCATCTGCCCGCATCATCCCCATCTCCACGTATCGTCCTCATCTCATTCCAGTCTCCCAGCATCATTCCCACCTCCCCATGGCATTCCCACCTCCCCATGGCATTTCCACCTCCCCATGGCATTCCCATCTTCCCACATCACCCCCACCTCCCCACAGTCATCCTCACCTTCCCATCCCATCCCCTTTCCCACATCATCCCCACCTCCCCATTCCATCCCCACCTCCCCATCCCATTAATGCCCATTTCCCCATCCCAATAATCCCTACCTCTTCATCCCATTAATCCCCACCTCCCCATCCCATGAATCTCCACCCCCCCATCCCGTTAATCCCCACCTCCCCATCCCAATAATCCCCACCTTCCCATCCCAATAATCCCCGCCTCCCCATCCCAATAATCCCCGCCTTTCCATCCCATTAATCCCCACCCCCCCATCCCACCCCCACCCCCCGCCCCGTCCCACGCGGTGCTGCGTTGCAGGGAAGCAGCTGGTGCACTACACGGCTCAGCCCCTTTTCCTGGTGGACTCGAGCGCGGTGGACGTGGGCGGCGGCGACCTGCCCATCTTCTTCGAGTTGGGCGAGGGCTCCTACTTCACCGACGGGGACGAGTACGGCGAGGACCCCACCATCTCCCTCCTGTCCGGGACCGAGCAGCCCAAACCCAAGGACCCCGCCGTGTCCTAAGGCCGGGGCCGAGGGCGGAAGAGAGGAGGAAGAGGAAAAGGAAGAGGAAGAGGAAGGCTGCGCCCGAAAGGGACCTGCGGCTCCCCCGCTTCGCGCAGACATCGGCAGCTCTCGGCACCCTCCGATCCACGTCCGCTTCCCCCGGCCGCCGCCAGGATCTCATTAGCGTGTGCTTAACGAGCTGACGCCAAACCCGCCTTAGGTTCCAGCCGGCGCCTCTCCGGGCCGGCGCTCGGCGGGGCTGAGAGGTGCGGGAGGACCCCCACCTCCCCCCCCCCACAGCCCCCCGAAACCCGGCGGAGCGGAGAGCGGGCAGAGAGACCGCGGCCCCCTGCCCTGCAGCCACGACGGCCGTCCGTCTGTCCGTGGGGCGGCGTCCGTGGGGCGGGCGCTGATGGACTGCATTGACGGACTGGGGAGCACTGGGCTGGGCAGCGGAGGAGTGGGCACCAGTGGGTGGGGTTCCGTGGGCTGGCACTGCTGAACTGGGAATCGGTGGGCTGGGAACTGAGGGACTGGGAAGAACTGGGCTGGCACTGGTGGACTGGGAATCAGTGGGCTGGCACTGGTGAACTGGGCATGGATGGGCTGGCACTGGTGAACTGGGAATCAGTGGGCTGGGAACTGATGGACTGGGAAGAACTGGGCCGGGCAGCAGAGGAGTGGGCATCAGTGGATGGGGTTATGTGGGCTGGCACTGGTGAACTGGGAATGAGTTGGTTAGGAAGTGATGGACTGGGAAGAACTGGGCTGAGCGGTGATGGAGCGGGCATCAATGGATGGGGTGAGCTGGGCATGGATGGGCTGGCACTGGTGAACTGGGAATCAGTGGGTCAGGTACTGATGGACTGGGAAGAACTGGGCCAGGCAGTGATGGAGTGGGCCTCAATGGACGGGGCATCGATGGGCTGGAAACTGGAGAACTGGGCATCAGTGGGCTGGAAACTGGTGAACTGGGCATCAGTGGGCCGGGTGCTGGTGAACCTGGTGTCAGTGGGCCGGGCGTCAATGGGATGGGCATCAGTGGGACGTGTGTCAGCGGTTGGGACATCAGTGGGGTGGGAACTGGTGAACTGGCATCAATGGGATGAGTGTTGATGGGACATCATTGGGGTGGGCAGTGGTGAACTGGGAATCAGTAGGATTGGTAGTGGTGAAACCAGCATCAGTGGGCAGGGATCAGTGGGATGGGCATCAGTGGGGCAGGGATCAGTGGGATGGGCATCAGAGGGGCAGGAATAGATGGGGTGGGCATCACTGGGGCAGGGATCAGTGGGATGGAAATCAGTGGGGCAGGGATGAATGGGGTGGACATCAGTGGGGCAGGGATCAGTGGGCTGGGAGGTGGTGATCTGGGCAGCCAGGTCCTGTCAGCGCTGTGCCAGCACCAGCAGCCCCAACCCACAGCACGGTGCTCACAGTGCCAGCGCGTCAGGTCCTGGTTGGTCGGTGCTGGTGGGTCAGGTCCTGGTTGGTCAGTGCCAATGAGCCAGGTCCTGGTTGGGTCATTGTTGGTTGGCTGGGTCCTGGTTGGTCAGTGCTGATAGGTCGGGTCCTGGTTGGTTGGTGCTGGTGGGTCAGGTTCTGGTTGGGTCAGTGCTGGTGGGCCGGGTCCTGGTAGGTCAGTGCTGGTGGGCCGGGTTCTGGTTGGTTGCTGCTGATGGGTCGGGTCCTGGTTGGTTGGTGCTGGTGTGCTGGGTCCTGGTTGGTCAGTGCTGTTGGGTCAGGTCCTGGTTGGTCAGTGCTGGTGGGTCAGGTCCTGGTTGGTCAGTGCTGTTGGGCCGGGTCCTGGTTGGTGGGTTCTGGTGTGCTGGGTCCTGGTTGCTCGGTGCCACGCGACGATCCCGGAGCCGTTCCGTTTTCTTTCCCTCTCGGCTCTGCGTTTCCTTCGGTTCCTTCGGTTCCGTTCCCCTTTGGCTTCGCAGTCAAACTTTGTACATTGACACTTCTGATTGTTAATAGTAAAAACTGTATTTTGGATTTTTACATGAGAGGAGAACCCACTTCTATCGATAGAAATCTATATAAATCTCTATGTACAAATATATATGAAACCAACGCACTGCGAACGGCTGGCCTTTGTGTGCGGGCAGCTCCAGTGGGACCCGTCCTGCACTGCGGCGGAACCCGTCCTGCACTGCCATGGACCCAAAGCAGAACCCGTCCTGCACTGCCATGGACCCAAAGGGGAACCCGTCCTGCACTGCCATGGACCCAAAGCAGAACCCGTCCTGCACTGCCATGGACCCAAAGCAGAACCTGTTCCGCACTGCCATGGACCCAAAGCAGAACCTGTTCCGCACTGCAGCAGAACTGATCCCACACTGTGATGGACCCAAAATGGAACCGATCCCACACTGCAATGGACCCAAAGGGAACCCATCCCGTGCTGCCATGGACCCAAAGCAGAACCGATCCCACACTGCAGCGGAACCCATCCCACACTGCCATGGACCCAAAATGGAACCGATCCCACACTGCCATGGACCCAAAGCAGAACCCATCCCACACTGCCATGAAACCAAAGTGAAACCCATCCCATACTCAGGAACCAAAATGGAACCAATCCTGCAGTGCAATGGACCCAAAATGGAACTGATCCCATACTTCAGCAGAACCAATCCCACACTGCAATGGACCCAAAACAGAACCGATGCCGCACTGCAGCGGAACCGATCCCACAGTGCAATGGACACAAAGCAGAACCGATCCTGCAGTGCAATTGACCCAAAATGGAACTGATCCCATACTGCAATGGAACCAAAGTGGTACTGCAGCAGGACCGGTCCCACAGTGCAATGGAACCAGAATGGAACCGATCCCACAGTGCGACAGAACCG